TGTGGACTGTGGCTTAGGTAAAAATCCCCTCCCCCAATTTTTTTTTTAATGCGCAGAAATGGCAAGGATGTTTGAGCACGTTTTTCGATCCCTTCCCCCACCAGCAACTCGGAGGGGCAAATTCCCAGAGCCAGAGAGCCGCCCGCTGTGGGGAAAACGCTCGGCGTCCTCAGATTGGCATCGCCGGCCCAGAAATCTCGCCCAGAATCCCGGCGCCAACCTGCACCCAGGCTGCAGATGACTGTAGACGTCCGCAGCTTCGTGCTAAGGCGGCCCTGGAGGGTCCTGTGGAGCAGTCCCTCGGGCCTTAAGGATGCGTGTGACAATAACTGATATTTAACAGCAAGCCAGTGGCCACGGGGCTGGTTTGTGGCCTTAGTGTTTTAATCATTCCCACCAGAAGTGCAGAACACTCTGCGGTCCAAGGAGTCCTTCCCTCACCCCCGGGCTTTTCCCCTGGCCCTTTCCGTTCACCTGGCTGGAGGAGGGTCCTGAACCCACTGGGCAACACACACACCCCCACGCCGGGCTCCCGGGGGAGCGCGCTCACGCTCGCACTTGGACGCTCAGCAATCCTTTTCCAAGGCTGTTCCCTCTTTCCGGGGAAATAAAGCCTAGATTGGAACCTTCTGCCGGCTTCCTCGCTTGGCCGTCTGGTCTGCATTAGTGTTTTTATAAGGGACTCAAACAAATCGAATACAAGGTCACCAAATAATTAACAGTTGTGAATTCCCTCCGTCCCCATTAAAATACTTCCCCGCTTATATTTCATTTTCCGTTTGCCAACGACAACAGGGTCCGGGCAAAAAGTGCTTCTGCGTTGATTACAAAAGTGCTCTGCGGCCCAGGTCCACCCGGAAACTCGCTGTTTTGCATAAACACGCTGCACCAGACGGACTTCAGTCGGAGGGGAACTCTGCCGCTGAGAATGCCCTCTTAGCTGCCCTGCTCCCCTCGCAGTTGTCCTGCCCTGCCCCCCGGTAATCGCGACCCAGAAAGTAAACCACGAAGCCAACAAACAATCAGCCACAAACTCGCCGAACATCCACTGCTAGGGTGTCAGGTTCATCAAGGATGTTCCGATCTCGTTTTGGTTTGATGTGTTCCCTGCTGCCTCCTTTCTGAGAGTGCTATTGTAACCCCCCCCCGGAAAAAAATACTTTTAAAGAGTATTCTTATTTCAAAATCATCTGGAAACCTAAGTCGCAGCAATATTCTTAGACTCATTTTGGTTTCCTCATCGTTGGGAGGTTTTTTGGTCCCCCTTGTTGGAATTTCGTGACACTCCTCACCACATACACTGAAAGTTCGGGTTTTGTTTCCCTCCCTCCCTCGCTCTCAGCCATGTTGAAGTCATAGGTGTGCTAACTGTCGGACTTTCCCAGGCCCCAGTGTTTTAATGAGTTATCTCTTGTACTCAGTGTAATTTCTCTATATCCCGTCGGGTCCATTCTGATCCTACAACTGTACTAACACACACACAGGCACACACTTTCTCATCTTTATAGCTCCAAAGTCACTTAAAGAACAATATGAAGGCATTTTTAGAAGATCAGGGGCAGCATAGTTTGTGCCCTTTACAAGGTGTCTAGAGGAAGAAGGGCAGACCCTTTAATCCAAAATTCTACTCCGACTACTGAGGCTTAAGAAACTGCAGAGGAGACCAGAGGCTGCCCTTAGATGGGGCAGGAAGCCTGTCCCTTGTTTCGCTTCTCACCAGTCTTTTAGACAAACCTCGCCGGCCATAGACAAGCCCTCAGGGGCTAGAACCAGCTATGAGCTTCACCTCTCACTAGCTGTGCGACTTGAAGCAACTTGCTTAACCGCTCTGTCTTCCTTCATTCACTTCTATAAAACACTGATTGTAGCATTTTCCTGGTGCTTGTTGTTAGAATTGAACACATAACAGGTTTGAGCATAGCCCTTGGTGCACAGTAAATGTTCAGTATGTCTTGGTTACTGTTATTACCCCTGAGTGTTGGGATAACAAATCAAAAGGAGGGACACATTGGGGGCGGGAGGAGGTGGGCAGAAGGTGCCAAGGAGTGTGGAGGACAGAGCGTGCTGTCTTAATAGATCTAAAACGCTCTTCATGCACTGTGGAAAGCGTTTTTCCCCGCTCTTCCACGCTTAATCGAAAGCTTCCAGTGAAACTTTTGAGGTTCCGGATTTTCAGGTGAGGGAAGCTTTTTACCAATATTGCACGTGAAAAAGGAGTTCATGCCTTGTGAGCCGGCTTCGGGATTCCTGCCATTTCCTTTGCTCCTCCCCCGCGAGGGACCCCCGATCCTGGAAGCCAAGCCTGCCACATTAGATGGCGATTTAAACATCCTCGAGGCAAGGCGCCAAGTGAGCACGGCTGGCCCAGCGCGCGGCTGGCCGCCGTTCTTTCCTTCTCGCCCCAACGTCCACGGGTTGGGGGAGGGGATGCTGAACCGTTTGGCGCGGTTGAGAGTCCCCACGTGAAAGGGGCGGAAGTCCCTGCCCGGGGCCGGGGATGCGCGGCTGGCGGGTCCCTTCCCTTACGGGAGACTAGACACTGTTTGATGTGTTATGACATGAGCCCCCAATTAGATCACTGAGTTGAAACACTCCAATCAGGGGGCCGATGCTAAGCAAGCCCCGGAAGGTCCAGCCCGAGGTCACCGCCGGTGACACATCAAATCAAAATCAGCGAGAGGGAAAGTGAGGCTTTCCCTTTATCGAGCTGGGGCTGCACCCCTCCCCTGCGTGCCCCCTCCTTCGCCCTCGCGGTGTGTGACCAGCCGCGTCGCCTTCCCAGTCGGCTAACTGCCTGTCTTCGCGTTTTCCGGGAACCTGAGAGCGTGGAGGAGACCGTGCTTTTGAAGCTGAGGTCCAGGTGGTCACGCCGCTTCTCCTCTGGCGGGGGACCGCGCGCAGCTCCAGCTCTCTACGGCATTCCGGAGCTGAGGCCGGACGTCTGGATCTCGGTCCGGCTAGCCTGGAGACCTTGGCTCGGAAACAGAGACTCCCCCCACCCCAGCCCGGGCACACAGCCAGGCCCTTCCCTACCTCCGGCGCCCAGGGGCGTCCAGCGCGGTGCCCGGGGAGAGGCTACAGCTCAAGCAAGGGAGAAGTGAGCCCATGTCTGACCCGACCTGAAGCCCCCAGAGATCCCCTGCACTTTCCTGATCGCCACAGGCTTCGGGAGACACCTCCAAACCGCCTGCAGAGTCCCTTGGTCCTGTGCCAAACTTACAGGGCTCAGGGAAGGAGCTAGGGGTGCCTGCTTGGGGGAGGGGCGCAGAGTCTTGGAACTTCCCTTAAGGAGAAGACCATGCGCGCCCAACTGACCGCCGGCTTGGGCCTCCGGGATTTCTTCCCCTGGGGAAAGGCTCTTGAGAAATTTTCTCTAAGCATCCTTAATATCATCTTCGACTAGGGTGGTAGAAAAGGCGGACAATAAGATTAGGAGGGAGGGAGGCAGAAGCAAAGGTGGGGTGGAGGGACAAGTGGGCTAGCTGAGCCGCGAGCACGGCGGCCAGGGACATAGTTCTAGCGCTACAAAGACACCACATGCATTTGCAAAAGTAGCTTTAGTAGTCTTAAAGTCGCAGCATCACCCCAGCGTTAATTTGCTGCGTGGACCTCTCAGCGGCTCATGCACCTTGCTGACTTCTGGCTGCAGCAGCGAATCCAGCACGGGCCGGACCCTAGCATATTGGACCCTTGCCCGAAAGGAAGGTAGGGGCAAGGGAGGAGTCTGGGCTCTGGAACCCGGAAAGCCCCGGGCTATCAGCTGGCTCTGAAAAATTTCAAGGACAGGCGGGTACCCAAGGCAGCCAGAGCAGAGCAGCCCCCTCAGCCCGAACCCCGCGACCCCACTCTCAGTGACCCGCAGTGGGGGGAGGGGAAGGGTCAACGCGCGGAGCCGAGTCTGCGCAGGATAGCAGAGCGTAAAACAGCCTAAAACTTTATCCTCTCCTTCCTTTCTTCTCGTCCCCCTCGTCCCCACCCCCTTCCCCTTCCTTTCCCGTCTCCATCCGCATTAATGTCTCTCCACTTTGGAAGCCGAGTTCTGGCGCCTGTAGATCCCTACACAATTTCTGGGACTGCGGAGACCTCGAGGTTCTCTCGAAGGCATCCCTCACGCTGCAGTGCAACGACCGCGGAAAAGGGGGGGGGGGGCAAGCGTTTCCGCAGACTCGCAGGCAAGGCGCCCACACTGGCAAAGGGGTCCTAGAAGGCGCGCGGAAAGGGGAGCATTGGCTGCTGGCTTGCTGAGAAACATGGATGTGCACATCCACGCACCGCGTGGTTCAGGTCCTGTACCAACAAACCCTAAACTTAGCTGCTGCGCCCCTGCTCCAGGCTCACCCTGCCAACTGCCACTGCAGAAACCACTCCGCTGCGGCCTCGCGCGCTGCGGTAGCAAGTAAGTCCGAAGGCGTGGGGCTCCCAACCGGCCGACGATCCCCACGCCCAGTACAGGACAAGCCCAGAACCCGTGCAGCCGCAGGGAGAGGGTGCTACCAGACTCGCGCAGCTCGCTGACTCCTCCTGCGAACGCAGAACTCAGATCTGCCGACTTTCCTCGGATCGGACGGGAACTCGTGGTATTATTGCCCCCGGGCCCGCCCCATTCCTACCATAGTTCAGACTTTGGACCCAGCACCCCGCAAAACCTGGGACCCTGTGGCACGGTTCCGTCAGGACCCGCCGCGAACCCTCTCCAGCCCAGATCTTTTGCCCGCCACCTCCCGCCCTTCACGCTTCCTTCACGAGCCACCAGAGGAGCGGCCACCACGCTGCTTTCTGCAAAAGATGTGAGGAAGAAGGAAGAAAGAGAAAAGGAGGAGGAAAGGATGATTGCAAACTGCAACTATATCTGCAGCCGTACCAAGAAAGTTACTCGAACTTTTGAAAAAAGCAATTTAAGAAAAGAAAGGCGAGGTGTGCGGGGCGGGCAGGAGCTGGAGCAGTGCCTCGGCTGCAGAGCTCCCGGGGAAATGAGTGGGGCGTCTTTTTTTGCCACTTACCTAATCCTCTGTCTACAAAGCTGCTGATCGTATTAGCCGACTTGGAGGACTGGAAGAAGCTGGCGTTGATGCCCAGCTTCTCAGCGATGGAGTAAGTCCTGTAGATTGACAGCATGTATTCGTGGGGCACCACGCGTGGGCCTCTGCCCGGAGGTTCCTGTGCCTGGGGCTGCTGCAGCAGCAGGCGCGTGGGCTCATCTTGTGCCAGCGGCTGCGGCTCCTGGAGCTCCGGGGCCGCCCGTGCCGGGGCACTTTCTTGCAGCGCCCACGGCATCTTCCCTTCCTTGCGGCTTCGCATTCCCTTGGCGGAGCCCAGCTCGACAGAGGACGAGGGGGATGAGATGGAAGCCTGCTGGAAGCCAGGCAAATCCCACAGGAAACCGATGAGTAAGACAGCTAAGAGCAGGACCCTGGGAGTATCCATGGCCAACGAGCGGCGACGTCTCCCGAGAGACTGCGGCACAGCGCGCAAGGAGCACAGAGCGGCTGGACAGCGGCTAGGGCCAGGCTCCTAGGGCTGACTCTGAGTGTGAGGATCTTGGTCCCAGCCACAGAAACCTCGGCCCCGCCACGCCCCCTCCCGCCCCCAGTCGGGAGGGGGGCGGAGGGTGGGAGGAGAGGCCGGGTGATGCGGGCAGGAGGTGTGGGGGAGAGGGTCCGCAGAGCGCCGTAGTGGCAGGGAGACACAGCGCCCCCTCGGGACGCGCTCGGGCCTGGCGGGCGGCAGGCGGTGCGCGCAGCGCGGGAGCGGGCCCTGGGCCAGGGAAGGCGGGTGCGGCCGCCCCCCCAGTGAGGAATCCAGGGGCGTCCGTCTTCAGTGCCAAGGTCCCTCTAGCACTATTCGAAGTTCGGTCCCTCCGCCGACGCGCGGGGTCTGGATTCTCTCCAGTCGCCTCCACTTTCCTGGGAGCGTTCAGCCCCCGAGGAGGGAAGCAGCGGCAGCGCCTCCCAGAGACAGCTTGGTGCAGGCGCCCCTGCAGTTCCCTGCACGCTGGCTCCCAGCCGTAGTACCTTCCTTCCTCTGCCCCAACCTTGGGCCACGGTTCTCCCCGATTAGGGCCCAGCCCGGGGCCAGAGAAGCCTTGCCGCGCGCCAGGCACAGGGCCCAGCCCTGAACAGCCCCATTCTGTCGGTGGGGTACAGCTCTCCACAAAGACAGGGCGTCTGTTTCCGACCCTCAAGGTCAGGCAAAGGCCACTCTTTAGAGTCTGGATGGATCCTCAGAGCGGCTACGCTCTCCTCCAGGCTGCTGCCCCTCGTCTCGAAGTCCCCGACCTCTTCTGACGATGGCTTTGGATGCTTTTTTTCTCTGCCTGCTCCCCGGATCTTGTTGCCTCTGTCGGCCTGTCCCCCGCCTCCACTGCAGCCCCATTTTTCCTCTCTTCCTTCCCTCCGCCGTCAATACTTCCTCCTTCCCAAGTGCTTTCCGTGTTCCAGCTCCTCTCTCCTCGGCCGCTTCTCTTCTCACACCGCCCTCCCATCGCTCTCTGCCTTTCCACTCTCTCCCTCCCGGGCCTCCACCTCCCAGTCTGCGGACCCTCCCTGTGCAGCTCTTCCCCAATCTGTTTCTTTTCAGCCCAGTCTCGCCCCATCACGAGTTTCCTTGATCTGTCCCCAGATTTTCCGGGCCCGTCTTCACGCCCACTGCCCAGCTCCCTCCTGGGCCCGACGCTGCCAGTCGAGAGGGAGGAAGGCTTCTCCCCCACAGGGAGTGCTCAGTGCCCTGGAACGCGAAGGACTGGCATTTCCCTGCACAACGATTGGGTGCTGAGCCCCCAACCGTCAACTGCTCTCCTTTAACGTCCCAGCAGCTCCAAGACGTTGGCCTTACTATTCCACTTTCACAGATTTAAAAAAACGGGATGAAGAGAGGATAAATGACTTTTCCGAGGATGCTTAGCCAAGAGGACATGCGGTCAGGGACAGAACCCAGGGCTCAGACCCCAAACCCAGTGTCCTTCCCATTTCAGCACAGAAGAATTCACCACTAGCTCATTATCTCCACTCATTTTTGCCTTCTTTTTCCTTTGTGGTTTTATTTTATCTGAGAGCATTTCTCCCCACACTGCCGTACATATGAGTGTACCCCTCCTCTCCACCCCACTCCCTCTCACTTTCTCCCCCTTTCTTTCTTCGGCTTTTTCATTTCTTTTACTGTCTCTGCTGGGACCACTCACCTGACGGCCGAGAGAGGAAGTTTGGCTTCCTTGCTCCCTTCACTTCTTAACTTCCTTCCGGTCTGGGCTGCGCGCTCCGCCCTGGGCACTGGCCACCGGCCTCCCCCTGGATGTCGAAAAAGAGAACCTATGAATTGGGCAGGGTTGTAAGTCCTTTCCATATTTTATTTCATTTAATCTTCAAAATAGTTTTATGAGGTAGTACCTCTGTTTCACAGATAAGGAAACTGAGGCCCTAGCAGAGGCTGTGAGCCCTTAACCGCTGGGCTCATGGGCTCTGCTCCTGAGGTCCTCCGTGGATGGATGCCCTTCTGACCCAATCCTGGTTTTGGTGTCATGAGTTTTAGCTTCTGAGATTTTAGACTCCAAGACTCTTTACCATAACCTTTTCTTCCTTCCTACAACAAATGAAATGTTTTTGCTTTTATGGGCTCCCTTCCGTTCCTTCTTAATTTCTTTATGCACACATTATTTCCATATTATTGTAACACAAGGAGAGATGCTATGTTGTATTCTTCCTTTAAAACTCAACATTGTGGCCAATGACATTGTGGCCGAAACATGCCTGCTGGCCCTTGTTTTTTTGGGGGGAGGGGTGTGGTTTTGTCCTTGGACATCTCTCCTCTGCCCTCTGCCTCTCTCTGCAGGTCTCACCACCCTGCTGTTGCCTGCCCATGCCACCTCTGCGAATGCACAGACTCAAAACCCCTCATTTCTCACTTGAAGACGCAGCATTTCCCCTTCTACCTACCTGTTGGCCCTGGGATGCATCCCAGGTCCTGTCCAGTCTGCTCTGGGTCTTGTTCTGTCCATCATGCCCCAGTGTTCCAGAGAAGCCTCTTTCTTGTGGTCTCTCTCTACCTCTTCCTTCAGGTCAATGGACACTTGCGGTTTGTATTATCAGATTTTAATTTGTATCAGAATGAGTCTAGTTAATGATGATTCATAGTTTCAGACTCTCCATTCAATAAAATGTTTCCAGTCAGCAACTGCAGCCCTGTGTACTCTCTTTTCATTTTGCCCATAGCAACTGTATCTGTTTCGAGTTATCCGTAAACAGGAAACAAGGTGATGAGCCTATTTGCTCTGGCTTAGGATCTCTCAGCACATTACATGGGGTCATGTGTAAGAGTAAATGATACTGAGACAGTGACCGTAAAGGACTCGCTCCGTCTTCGTCTTCGGGTTTGGGATTCCCCTGGGGCAGATATTAGCCTTCTTCATTGCTGCCAGCCTCTGGTCAGGCAACGAAAGTGGCCTTTGCAGGGAAGGGTTGCAGCATGGATTTCAAGGTGAGCAAAGAGAAAGACACACACGCGTAGTGGGAGAGCTCAAGGTCACAAGCTGTCAGAAATCTACCCAGAACTAGGAGGCCGTCCTTTCTGGCTCCCAATCCAATTCTTCCCCTGTACCAAAAAGCACTTCACTTTTAATTCTAGGAATGATGGCCCACAGTAACATATATAAAGCCTTTTCTCTTCCTCCCTTTCAAATGGGAATTCACCCCAATGTTAACAGGCCATGCCAAAGCCTTTGCTCTGTGGGTATATGGGTGTGTGTTTGTGTTGTAAAAATAAAGATACAAAGAGCACACTACAAGTCAAAGTCTGCCTTTAGATCTCACATTTGGAGAATTTGAAATAATACTGTAGAATTTAAGTTTTCCGTCCAGTCTTAAATTCTTTCATAATTTCTTCAGGAAGTTCATCTATGAAGAATATGAAAAAAGGCAAAAGGTGCATGAGCTTAATGAGAAGGCACCTTCAGCAGCTTAACCAGGGCGTTCTTTCCTGGTTAGATTCCCGCAACCGCCCCCCTCCCCGCCACCCCCCCCTCCAAAATACCAACAACTGTGCTATCTGGTATGTCCTGCCCCCCTGTGGAAATTGGTGGAATTGCTTGCGGAAAACCAAAGTCATGCTGGACCTAACATTTACAGGCGGTTGCAAGACAGACGGGAAATAGTGACATCTATTAACATGATTTGAAGAAATTAGAGAGTCATGTATAAGTTGTGGGCAGCATTTGGCAACAAAACATCTATAAGTGAACAATTTGACTGCCCAGAAACACAGGACCAAAAGCAAATAGAATTTCCCTGTTGCTATCTGACACCCATGCTCTCTGATTTTTAAGTTATATTAACCCAAGAAGAGAAGATCCTCCTAAATAAATAAACATACCCCTTTTATTCTGTAATTTTTATTGAAGTGTCAGTCGAAAGGCAATTTCTATGAAAGTGACTGAGGAGATTTTACCTTTAGTGTGGTCCTTATCCAGTTGAAGTAACTATTCTTTAAAAGCTCTGGGAATATATCCTAGCACGAATTCCTAGCACCCAAAATTCACACAAATAAGACAATTGCTTTAGTCTGAGGTGCTATCTTTATAAGAGCCCAGTGAAAATACAAATGCCAGTAGGATCCCCATTTATATTTTACTATCACTAGGATACTATTTTGAATGAATTGATAAGCTGATTATCTGATAGGATTAGATAGCTGACTTAAGACTTGTGGATTTTGACTTTAAAAAAGGGGAAGGACAAAAATGACTGGGCAAGTAGGTTTGAAATTCTGCTCCTGAGCGCTTCTGGGGCTTTCAGCAAGAGGAATGAGGACATGAACCAGGAGGCACTCACGTCGCCACGTTTGCTCTGGTCTGAGCAGCCCTGCTTTCAGCCCTGTTTTTGACCTTTTCATAAAATTTTATCTGCAAAAAAAGGTTGGTGAACAAAGAAAATGACAGAAGGAAAGCCAATGGCTTAGAGTCCTGACCTGCGTTCCTCAAAGAAGGGGTCAGAGGTGAAAAATGTGTGGGGTCCCGAGCATCAGAAAGAGAGGTGAGCACTGCTGTGGAACAGAGGAGACGGTTTCGGAAGCCTCTTCGGGAAAGGTGCACGGAAGGTGAAGCGTCCCCTTCACGGCTCAGCCTCGGAGCGACCGGCCCTGTGATCCCTCCTCCTTTCCCCAGTGTCCACTGACACTGACTTTTTCATTTCCCTTGTTTGGGCACTCCCATTCCTTGAAGGAATGGTTTACAGACAAGTTAGGAGAAACAGAATGAAGAGTTGTGCCCAGTGATACGATAGTCCCAACCTCTCTGGGCCGCAGCTCTCCCACTCTATTGGCTGAACTCGGTGTGACCCAGAGGTTAAGTCGGCCCTGTGCCTGCCGCCAGTATGAGAGCTCTGAGATGGGACGGCAATTGGATCCAATTCTGGATATTGAAAGAAGCGTGAAGACCC